AGGACATTTGAGATTACCCTACCGATCAGTCCACAGGAACAAGAGTTGTGCCAGATCAGAAGAAAGGCCTACCCTAGTCCGTCACCCTGTTCACACAATGGCCAACCCACTTGTTTGCTTGTCTGAAGTAATCTTATGCTATTCCCCAGCCGAGCAGGCTAGCAGTGACTTACAGAGCATCGACAAGACAGTTCCTGCCTGCAGACTTGCTGTCAAAAAGGAACAATAGGCAAGTGGGAAAAAACAGGGAGGGGACACGGGGAAAGTTAGTTTAGGAGGGCTGGTTAGAATGGCCCCAATTTCCTCCTTCCTTCAGTAGCACCTGATGGAATGACTGCTGGAGGTAGCAGTCGAGGATGTTTGCTGGAAGCCCACAAACAGGGCATGAGGACAACAGCTCCTTGCAATCATGTTTTGCAGCGACTGACAAAGAGGCACATTGCTTCTGACACTGGAGATTACAGCCTCAGATCTAGTGGCCATTACAGATAGCCCTATTTTCAACGAACTTATCTAATGTCCTTTTAAGGGCATTCATGTGGGTAGCGTTCATTCTTTCTTGTGGTAGCAAATTCTCTGGTTTGTGCATGGTGCACAGTACTTTCACAGTGCTGAATTTTCCATCATTTAGTTTCATGCAATAACCTCTGGGTTTGAGCACTAGAGAGAAACATCTTTTACGTTTGCCTATTACACGCATCATTTTAGGCACTGTTATTGTGTGCCCCCTTAACCCAACTTTAAATGGCTCCAAATGTTCTATCTTTTCCTCATGGGGGAGATGCGCCTTAAATAGCCCACTATTGTGTACTGCAGCTGGCAGTGGCTCTCCAAAGTATATGCTGATATCTTTTAATTGAAATTACTAGAATCATAATTGGGGCCTTCTGGGCAGCAAGTAAGTGCTCTGCTTCTTGATAATAGTGTCTTCACTTGTCTACATTTTCAAGGCCATTTCCACACTTCTTGGACGAAATAGGGAAAGTAGTCCATTTTGTAATGATTCAAATAAGAATTAAATACTTACTCTGACTGGAAGGATCTTTTGATTTTACCTAATTAAGCAAGCCACCCAAAATGTAGACACAAAAATCATGTTTACTCAAAAGTAAGTTCCAGTTTTCAACAGGATTTACCTCTCAGGTTGCAATCCATTGGGGATGCCCTTAACCCTCCAAATCCAATAGGATTGTGGGCAGTGGTGACCAGATTCCTGTAGGCTGCCCCATCTGAGGGCGCAAGTAGGACCCAACTAGGACCAGCTGCTGCCACCAAGAATAAGACAAGCCCACTCTCTTCAGGCCCAAGTGCTCTTGCTTCCTTGGGGATGACCAAGGCTCCCACTGGGGTCCTTTGTATTGGGCTTCTTTGCAGCCCACCTGTGCCGAGACCCAGACACATGGTGCACCTCTTGGGTACTTCCCCCACTTCGCCCCAAAGCACATAAACTGCATTTTGATGAAAACAGGGTAATAGATTACTAAGGATTCAGAAAAAGTACAAAATGCGGGGGGGGGGTGAGGGTCTGAGTACACAATATTCCATTTAAAAAGGCAAATCAGTTTCAGCGTACAAGCAACAAAGCAGAAAATCAATGCCAAAGAACAAAAAAGAAAATACTGTCTACTTGCATTAAGGTGCCTACCTGGTTTGATGACTCACCATGTCTGTGGCCAAATTCTCCTGCTGCTTGCATCAGGTCTTCATCCGCTTTGGTTGAGGAAAAAAACACACCTGATTGCTTGTACCAGAAACTTTGGACAATCTTTCTTGGGTTTCCCTCCAACTCCCATACTCCCAGAAAGATTTGCTCCTGACTCCTGTGCTGATAAAGCTCTCCCCTCTTCCATGCTTGGTGGAGTAAACTTCCCCTGCTCCCTTCCCACTTGCTGAGTGGGGATTTCAGAGGACTCTCCTGTGTGTTTGCGTCTCATCCCCAGCTCTGAAATGAATTCTAGAAGAGTCCAGTTGTTCAGGCACCCGACTAGCTTACTACTGAATGGATTGGCTAACTGGTGACGCATGGCCTGCCGATAACCTCCCCTGGGTTATCTGCATGGTAATACCAATGTCAAGTGACTTGGCCTTTCACTTAAGCAGAGACTTGCAACTGATTGCAGAGGAAGGTTTTCATCTCTTGGATCTAGGTAAGATGGAATTGGTAGTCTGGATGAGTGGGATTCTCCAGCCAACTATATGATGGGCATCATGCAAAAAGCAGGAGGGGAACAGAAGCTAAGGTTCCCACCACACTCCTCCCACTGTGCAAAGCAGCTGGACAGTCAATTTCAGTTATCTTACTCCAGCACATTGGAGCTGGAGAAAAGCGGCTGAGGTGCCACCAGGATACATCTTATCTTGGCAATGCTGGTCTCTCCTCCCTGCAGAACCCTCCCTCAAAGCCTTCTCTAAGGTTGCTGTTACCACTACACAGAAGTACCCAGCACAGTTCTTTCCACACAGGCTGTGAGGGGAGAATATGAGTGCAGATCCCTAGACTGAAGCTGTTTTTTGACTGAATCCAAAATATCCCATGGCTTCTAGACAATGTCTGGAGAGCCACAGGACTGTTCTGATGGTAGGTGATTTTACTATTGCAGCATAGAGACATCTTCAGCATATTCCACAAGATCAAGTTAACAAAACAGCATTAGGGGGAAAAAACAGGGCCTACAACACCAAATTATTGCAATCTGTTTTGTGGAACAGATTTTTTTTCCCCGTGCTTTATTTTTCTGTAGAAAAGTTTCCATTTTGTAAGTTCACTAATAACAATGAATGGATGTCAAATGCAAATAAAATATTCAGCAAGCTTGCCTAACTTCTAATTAAAGTATTTCAGATGATTCAGTATTCCAGTAAAGATTTCTACGTATCATTTGAATCACAGTGTGCTTTAATCCTGCCTCCTGTTCGGATATGAGACAAAAGGGGGATTACTATTTCGTTGTTTGCCAATTAGAAATAAAATAAACACATTATCTGCATAACATGTTATGGGCATTAGAACATTTTCTGAAGCCAATTACTCTATGCAAGTCAGCCTAATTTAAATAAGACATTTTTTCCAATCAAATTTTTTCCAGAAAAGCTACATTACTAGTTGCAATGTGCACCGATTCTGCTCAGGGTTCCAGCCAGTCATGCCTCCGAAATATTCCACCACCATCCTTTTGCTCTTCCCACTTCCAGTAGTCAGCCATATCCACTGAGCATGTTCAGTCCTCACTTGGGTTGCTTTCCCCGCTCTATTTTTTTCCTGCACATCTTCAGACCTTGATTTTCCTCCTTTTCTACAAACAACTCCCTGTGGGTGGTGCCATTTTAGATAGATAGGATCAGTACATGGAGAATCTGTATTAGTATACAAGCTTTTTTTTAAATTTCACCTTTTCTCCAGCAAGAAACTCCAGGCAGTTCACAAAACCCTTCTCTTCCCCTGCCCTCCCATTTTATCCTCACATCAACCCTGTGGATGAGTTAGGCTGAAAGTCTAGTCCCAATTTGCCATGAAGTGCACTGGGTGAGTTTGGAGGTCCAAACTCACCCAGTGCACTTCATGGCAAATTGGGACTAGAACCCAGATATCCCAAGTATGAGTCCAACACTCCAGGCACTACAACTGCAAATTTAAATCTTTTCAATTCCACACAGGTTGCCCCATACCTGTAATTCTGTACAAATGCAAATGAGGCAGAGTTGTATTGAAATAATTTTAATGGGAAAAAGCTATGAAAATCTGTCCAATATCATCATGATTGTGCTTCCTACTAGCAACCATTCCTACAAGTGCATTCTGCCTTTTAAAATCCTTTTTTTTCCAAGGACAAAAATCATCTAGCTGCTTTAAGTTTAAACAAAGGCCTTTAAAATCCAGCATTTTTGCTTTGTGCTCTAGCTCAAACCCTTCCATTCTTTCAGTGAATTTATTTGCATTACACTGGCAAATAGATAATCAATTTCCTAGTCTGAGACTCAGTGTAGTGTAATGAACATTTCTGATCTGATTTCTGGTCTCCATTCAGCCATTAAGTTCACAGGCTGATTTTGGGACAGTCTCTGTTGCTCAGCTTAACTTACCTACATGGGGAAAAGCAAGGGTTATATAAGCTGCCTTGGGCTCCTTGAAGGAAAAAGTCAGGATATTAACATAACAAAAATAGAATATATAAAGTATTTCGTTCTCCACTGAAGAAACAAAATTGCACATATAGCCCTTCAATTTGGATCAGTACACTCACCCTAAATACTAACTATGTGATCCACCTTACCCAATGGAATAATTCAGTTAATGGTAAGATGAAAACTGCACACATGCCAGTAAATCTCAGGAAAGTTAATTGGACTTGCTTCCAATTGTTAGGATCAGCTGCAATTCCTATTGAAGCAAATGTGGCAAACTGAAGACCCAAATTATTCTTTACAGGTTTTGCAGTGGAAGTCAGCTCAATGCATTCCCAACAAGTCTCATTGAGCTTATTAACTAAGATTACGATAGTATTTTGAAATTCTTTCCTGTATAGATTAGCATTTTAAGCAGTCACCTCCACGCTTCTGAAAACTAGTAATGCAGCATACCCTACATTTTAAGTACACAATATATACCAAAATGAATTGTTCCCACATCCTGGGAAATTAAATACACAGCATAATAAAAGTTCTTAATATGCTTTGAAAAAGCAAACAAGCTTCATTAACACAGTTGAGATCCTATTCATTAAAAGGACCTTTAAAAAGTTTTTGACACAAGAATACTTATTTCTTTAGATTTACTTTCATGAACCTGCTCTGGAAGAATTCAATTATGAGATCTTGAGAACATTATGGAGATTACTAGTCCTACTGAAATTAACAACAGGACCAGTTAGCTGTCTGCTAGCAGTAGGACTAATTTAGCTCTCCACTAAAAGCATAAAACAACTGGAGAAAGCATTGCGGTTCTTACTGATCCAGAACAGAACAATTGTTTGGAAAAAAAAAAAAACCAAAAACAAAATGCCTGTAAATGCATCTGATCCTTTAATTGGTAGGAAATTCTACTGTGATAAATGGATACAATTTTTAAAAATGTATGTTTAAGATCAGGAAACAAGCAGTTCAGCAAATATTGTAAAAATGCACAAGACTATTAGATGCTTGAATTCATACCTATTGAAGAGGAAGTTGATTTATTCGATCATGGATAACAAGACAAAGCAACTGACATGAAGTCAATACCAAATAATGGTATCACATGAAGGACAAGAAAAAAAAATCTTTTTATGTACCATGAAAGTGTTTTGTTCACAATCAGCTCTGATACATCATATAGAAGTAATCCTAACCACAGGTTTTACAATACTGAATATGTAGACAACACGATATATGCAATCATAAAATACATGCACATAAATAATAAGGGATGTCACTACATGGTTTTTTTGAAAAAAATCCAAGGCACAATATTAAAAATTAATATAAAGCAAAAATAAATGAGAACTTATACCAAGTACCATTGTGCAAGATGCCAGCCAAATGAAAGATACAATACTTGGACACAGGTATCATTCTCTTTTTACTACCTGCAAGCTGCAGAGGCAACTTCAGGGACTAATTCGCACAGATTCAGTGACCTAGGCTGCCCAAGGGTTACAGCCTCAGAGATCTCTGTACTGCTAGTCACATAAATTGTCCCCACGTACAAATATAGCTCAGTTTATTCATATTTGATTCCTACCCTGATTTTTATTCTAGAAGGATCCCTAAATAAACTTAGGGAAGTCAAGGTGAGGCTACTTCCATCTCTACTGACATGTATTATTGGAATGGGATGGCCAATCCTGCAAATCTGAAATTCTCATTTGGCCTTGTAGTTCTCCCCACCCTTTTTCATGTCATCTCTTTCCTCCAGCTGCTGGCAGATGGACAGTCAGTGGTCTAGCTGCTCTTTGTTCCTAGTTTAAATGCAGGGCTAAGAATGGTTCATAGAGGGAATATAGCACTGTGTGAACCACTCCTTGTCTATGATATAGAAATGATTAATATTTGGCATATTTACACAAGATATCTTAATCCCACAGAAGTCAGACAGACAAAGAAGCATAATCCTAAATACTGAGGCTGGACTCTGCCAGTGCTTTATGTACCTGTAATGTAGAACTACAATTTATATATTCTTTCCTGGAAGTCACATTTTAAGTTGCAGGAAATTTAGAAAGCAACTTGGGAGGTTCGACTAGGGGAACTGCTGAAGGGATTTGGGCCACAAAAAATCCATTAGATAAATGAATGTGCCACACACATATCAGTGAAACACTTTGTAAGTAACTTCCATGTAAACTAGGTTGGAGTGCTATGAAATCTGAAGGCACTTTTGTATAAGCAAATACATTTAGGACTCAACTGCTTGTAGAATTAAATACATAACCTATCTCAAGTGGTTTGTGGGTTACAGACTTAACTTGAAATATTCCAACTATGTGTTGAAATATTCCCATCAGTCTGGGGTCAAATGTGGCAGTCTTTGACCAATCCCACATCCCCATATCTCTGAAGCTGGGTTAACAATTTCATGACTACTCTGGAACAGAGAGCTTAGTGCCTGCAAGCTTTGTGGTTTAACCGCAGCACATTTTAGCATGTGTGGTAGGCTAGGCCTCTGTATACAACGGACAAAGCAGCACCATCATTCAAGTAAAAATCTTGAAAACATATTAGATTTTTTTTTAAAAAAATCTTTCTTGTTTGCTGCAGCCAGCCAAGTCACAGTGCAGAGCAGACTGCATAATAAAATTACATTAAAATTACATGTGTTCAAGTTAGTGTCATGGTGGAGGGAAAGACAAGCACCCTACTCTTCACTCAGTCAAATTTAATTGGATTGTTTCCAGAGCTGAATGCTGTGTTCAGGGATCAATTTATAAAGAAGCAAGGGTCTTTCTGCTGAAGCCAGCTATGGTATTTAATTAAAAGATGAAGGCAACAAACACTGCAGTTATGTAACCAACACAAGTCTCTGCTTGTCAGTATCAAGTATGTCACAATTATCAGGGGGTGTTATTCACACAGATAAGAAATGGCAAAATATATCAATGATTCTAATCATATGCAGAAATAAAATTCTAGCACAGAGTTGGATGAAAATGCTTTGGAAAAACATTTTGCAAGACTATGATGCGTCAATTGGTAAGAACTATGGAGACTGAAAATATCTAATAAGCTAAAATGCAGTTTATCCACAAATGAAGAGTGTTTCATGTCCACATTTCTCTGCTGTTAATCCACACCTGGCACTACTATCAATTTACCAGGTAGCCCTCCTTTACCCAAACATATTAGCTCAGGTAATTACCTAACAGGAAACTTCAATGTACACCAAGCTCCATCCCTGACATTTTAGTGAAGCAGAGAGATAACATGATATAAAATGTTGATGCATTACCTGAATGGTTTGCTAGAGAATTCTCTTGATGAGTGCATCTACCTAAACCAACAATGGTTCTCCCTCTTTTAGGACACTACATTTTTGTACCAAGTACCCTTTTCCCCATTTGGGGGGGGGGTGTTTGTATGAAATTAGCTTATTTTATAGAGAATGAGACTGGAGCTGACATTAAGGATTTTCCACTCAAGTTACTAGAATTTAGATTTGACTGCTCATGCAGTCATCAGAATTTTCATTCAGTTAGCCAAAATGGAAACCCCTCACCTTGGAATTAGTATGATTCTAGCAGCAGCACCCTCTGATATGGAGCTTGATAAACTCTGGTCAGAATGCCACTCTCCAAGAAAAAGTTCCTTTGCCCTTCACTTTAAATATGCTTGTAAATATTTAGTGTTCTTAAAATTAATTACCCAATAAATAATATTCCTAATTTATCGAATAAGGAATATTCTGATCCATATATTCTTTTTATAAGCTATGATTAGACTTTTGGAAACTAGTTCTTTGGGGAGGAAGTCCAGGAGAAACAGGCTTCAGGTACCAGAACCTGTATGTTCCATACCAAGCAAACAGGCCCACCAAAGTGCCAAAGAATTTTTGGAAGAAGTCATGGAAATATATGGCAGTGGTAAGAAACATCAACAGCCAGATCAGGGTCAAGCAACTCAGTGCGAGAAATAAAATGCTGACTGCTCTGTGCAGTCTGGATCCCTGAGAGGTTGTTACACTGTGCATCACAGCCATCTCCTCCACAATCATTAGAGCACAGTACGAAAGGAGGAAGGAATGCCCTGAGATGTCAAAGCCATGCCAGAAGTGTCCAGCTTTTTGGCACTGTAGCTTGTTGAGATGTTCCAGCAGCTGTATATCCAAGGCTGGTGATTTGTAGCAGGTGCCTGTGAGGTCCTCAATGTACAGAAACACACATGTACATGCATACCAAACAGCAGTTCCAACCATCAGAGTAGTGAGGCGTTGAAACACCACTAGAATATTCCGGGTGACAAGGTAGTTGGTGATGCTGATGAAAGGCAGTAGTAGAATAAACGTCCAGGCCCAAGCAAATTTCACAAAACAACTGCCAAAAAGAATGGAAGAGAAATATACAAAATTCTAGTTAGAGTTAGATGTTGTCCAAAAGAATTACAGCATCATATTTTGCCTTTCTTTTTTCATGGAACTCAAGGAGGCTTTTATATTCCTCCTCTCAATCTTATTCTCATAACAACCCTGTGTAGTAGCTTAGATTGAGACTCAGTGACAGGCCCAAAGCTTTGTGGCTGAGTGTGGACTAGAACCCAGATCTCCTGGATCCTAATCCAACACTCTACCACTACACTGGCTCTCATGTGCATGTATAAATTCACCCTAGTTAATATTCTACAGCTTCCCAAATTTTTGGGCAAGTGCTGTATCAGCTACTCATGGATCCTATCATGGGAAGGACAGGACATGACTTACTCTAAATCAGTGTCTAGACTGATTTTTTTTAAGCTTGGGTGGCCACAAAATTATTACATTAAATATATGTAATAATTATACATTAAATATATTATACATTTATATAATATAGAAATGTACACATATATTATACATTTACATTATACATTAAATATATTACATTAAATATGTTGAAAACTGTCCAGAAAACCTATTAATCCAATTATATTTCTAAGTTCAAAAGGATCTATTTCTCAAAAATGAGATGTAATTATAAAGAAGGCTGAACAGTAACTAGGAGGGTCGAACTGATGATAGCACATACTAGAATGTCATAGGCTCCAAATATCTAGCTAATACTCCTCAGTTGGGGCAGGGGAGCTGTGGAAGAGGTTTAAAGTTCAACTCTGGTATCTGCATGCAGGAAAGGGGAAAAATCTTACTGAAACCTGGAAAGGTGCTGCAAACTAGTATGGATCACCCTTCCCCAACACTGGACCACAACTACCATCACCCCAGGTATGGTGGTAGAAATTGTATCAGGTAAACATCTGCACAGGGGAAGATGAGATGTGGGCTCATAGAAAGCAGTCAAATGGAAATCAAAAGCACTTTCTCTTTCAGAGTTCCCCTATCTTTATTTGTAGTGGTTATCCAATAATTTCTTTAATTACATTGCATACTCCCGAGTCCATTCTTGAACTATTCTGTTGTACCTTTCTCTATCTGTTTTGTAGATGCATGCAATCTTATCTGGATTGGGATCACACAACAGAGAACAGATGGACAGAAGTACTTTTGAAATAGTTAATGCAAGAGACCACTGTGACCGTAGAATATCAAGACAAATACTGCCATTACTGTAGAGGAAGGCTGTTGGACTCAATATAAGGCAGTCTCCTAATGTCACGAGCATGTGCCCAGGGCAGAAGCCACTACCACTACTGAAAAATTACTGAAACTAGTACTTCTGTCACACCTGCAAGATAACTCATTTCTTTTGACTGTTTCTAGCACCTTGACCAAATGGTTAGGGTCAGTTAATTCACTACATTTTCCCCAACCTGGTGACCTTCAGATCTGCAGAACTATATCTCCTGGCGTTTCTGAGCTAGTCTGAGATGCTGAGAACTGTAGTTCAACACATCTGAAGGGCATTAGGTTGAAAGGAGGTATTTTATTATTCAAATTGTTTTGCTGTTGATGGCATAGAATATAAAGTGTTCCAATAAAGAAATATATCCAATCTTCCTCACCAGAGGATACCAAAAAGATCCAGGGTTCAGGCCCACAGGACCCCACCCCCCAAAAGGCATACACTTATTTACATATACTCTGAAGTCTCTGTGTATGTGATGTGCAAATCAACAGGTATAACCTACACAGATATAATCATGGGAATATCAAAATAAGGTTCGACCAGAAAAAGAATCCTTTTTCTTTAGACATCAGCATGTGTGCATCCTTGAAATGTAGCTGATACTAACCAGGACCTATTCCAGCGACAGCTAGCTGACACTTAACAAATAACAGCCCAAACAAAGGGAACTGACACCACTCTATCTCCTCCTCATCCTCTTCTTTAGAATAACACCCCACCCTCTTCCCCTCCTTGGAAGAATCTTCTTTCTCTTTGGAATGCAGGCCAAAAGATCATGTAGCTTTTAAGTTCTTTAACCTATTAGAAAGTGTTAACTGTGTTACATGTAACTCTTTCATGATCAATGTACAAAAAGGCCAACTGAGGACCGCTCAGGTGCGCCGTCTGGAACGGTTCGTCCGTTCGTTGCCGGTTATTCTTGAGAATAAATCCTTTAGAAGAAAACCTTCCCGTTGTGTATTTTGGGCAAGCACACTCCAGGACACGGTCCATTCGGTCAACATCTCTGTGTGCGTGTGTTTAAAGGATGCGTCTCCAAGGGGCACCTCAACTTGTAAAAAGAGATGTATGGCCAAGAGAGAGAAGTATTCGACTTTGTGAGAAGAGAAGGACATGAAAACCTCAGGCAGAATGATTCAACTGAGTGAGTCAGCAGGAGTTGAGATCCAGCGGGGGATCAGGCACAAGATAGATCATCAGAGCCTCTGAATCTTTAGTCTGGCAAGTGCCCATGGGAAGCAGAGCGGTGGGGCAGATGGCTTCCGAGCAGGGCTGCCTGCAACACCACTTCTGTTCCTCGCATCCCAAGGGCAAGTCCTTCCCGGTTAATTGGCGCGTCCCCAAAGTACTGGCTCTCTCCTCATATACTGCCTCCGTCCTTTCGGCAAGTCTCCTACTCTCTCCAGAGAGAGAGGCAAGAATAACCCCCCCACAAGCCAGCCCCTTCCAACCAGAGCCCTCCTCGTCCACACCCGAGACGTGTCCGTCAGCGCCGCCTGCCCCTCCGAGCCAACGCGAGCCCCTGCCCCAGCCGCTCACATGTTCAGCAGGTTGCGCTTGTTATTCAAGTAAGAGTCAGGAAGCGGCGCGAACTCCTTGACGAGGGATCCACCCAGCGTGAGGCCCAGCAGCCCCCAAGGCATCGTCTGCCGCACCGAGCTGCGCACCAGGTAGGGCAGCAAGAAGCGCACGCTCCGATCGATGCTTGCCATCCCGGGGACGTTGACAGCGCACCAAGCGCGCGCCGGCCGAGCGTCCAGAAGCGGGGACAGCCGGCCAGCGAATTCCCGGCCGCCGTAGTGCGTCAGCGCGCTGACGTCGCTCGGCCGCATCGCGCGCGTTCGGCTCGGCTCGGCTCGCAAGGCGCAGGCGCCACCTCGCGGCGGTGGGGGCGGTGGAGCGCGCTCGTGCCCGGCCGTTTGGTGAGTCAGCAACGGTCCCTGGAGGCGCCCGGCTGCGCTTGCGCACCTCGCGGCCTGGCGAATGCTGTGACACGCGCTTCCGTGTCAGTGCTCTGGCCGAGGCCCCGTTGAGCATTAGAGGGGCCGGCTTCTTCAAGGGGGCAGTTCAGACTGTTGTCGCTGGATGGGAGATGCCATGCGAGCCTTGTTGCGCAGTTTGCCTCTAGAATCAAACATCCGTCACCCGTGGAAAGGGTGGAATGGCCCAGTGCACCTCACTCCTACGGCCGGCATGTTTGCCCACTGTGCTTAGGAGTCCTGCATGAAAGCTCTGCTGCATAAAGGGACGCCAGTCGGGATCCAACGCTTTGTATGGCGCAGTGCTGCCTGCGTGCATTGGTTCATCTGTATAGTCTTACTACATTTGCAGGATGAGGGCCCCTGCAGGCATGCATTCCTTAACATGGAGAATTTCAGCAAGCCTCTGCACTCTTTGGGTTCAGAGAGCGCACAACATTTACTCAGAGGGTGAAGTGTTTTGCATTCTTTCATTCTTCGTTATTCCTTGTTACTGTCTCTTTTTATTAGCTTTTTTTAGTTGTTTTAAACTTTTAAATATTTTCTCTGATTTTATATTGCTTTTATAGCCTAAAGATCTGCCTTCTACCCCTTATTTAAGGCAGGGAGGCAACCCTATTTCCTCTAGAAGTTTTGAACTTTGGCTTTCATACTTCCCTCCCATTGCCCATGCTGGCTAAGACTGATGAGAATTTTAGTCTGAAGCTACAGGATTGCCTACCTTTGCTTAATAAGCATTGTCTCACTGTATATAGTACCCAACCTATACAAAAAAGATATATTTCTAAGAACTCTTGGTCCAGAGGGAGGGAAATCATGCACATAGTGATCAGTCACATTCATAAGGGAGTTTTGATGAATGCAGTTTTCTCATGCTATGTTTCAGTCCTGCCTAGAATACAAGTTTCTGAAATCTGCACCTTCTGAGATTCCCTGTTTGAACACTGCAGCAGTCCTTTGCATCAAATAGTGACCTATTTACTACACTGAATTGAGATATAACAATTACTTGGCACTAAGTTTTATTTTATTTTTATTTTATGCTTCAAATGTATTTTCTAGCTGTTGCATAGAACTTAATTACTACGTAATCAATACAAATCAAATCGAAATAATGAACAATATATAACTAACAAACCACATACCTATTTGTTCAAAGTTGTTCAGAAAAGGCTTAAGGAGAAGAGACTTATGGTTCCTTGTTTATTCATGTTCAGTGGAATTTCTAGGCATTTGACTCAACGAGTATAATATTCAGGAAGCTTCAACTAGCCCATGCAGAGTTGTGCTGGATTCCCAAAGATGATCTCAGCAAGACCTTTGCTTAGAGCACACAGGGATGTCCAGATTCAAGAGAGAGGGTTTGGAGAGACAATGTGCACTGCTGCTGTGGTGAGAAGGTGCATCTGTGCAATTTTTGTTGTTATTGCTGTTCAGTTGTTAAACCCTTCCTGCTCTCCTGTTCTCTAAAGCATGAAATACACAGTGGTGCCTTAGCTCACGAACGCCTTGGTTCACAACCAAATCGAGTCACAAACAAAAATTTCATGAAAATTTTGACTTGGGTCATGAACTCCACATTGGGTGGCAACCAAGATTACGGCCATCTCCCCCCCCCCCCCCCCGAGTTGAAAGATGGCCACGATCGCAGTTGCATTCGTGCAAGGAAGACATGCGTGATCACGGGCGCACTCGTGCAGGAAAGACGGGCGCAATCTTGGCCATCTCCCACCCGCAACCAGCATGATCGCAATCATCTCCCCACCCCCCACCCTGAGTGGGTAGATGGCCACGATCACAGTTGCGTTTGTGCAGGGAAGGCGTGTGTGATCACAGGTTTACTCTTTCAGGAAAGACGGGCACAATCTTGGCCATTTCCCCAACCCACCACCCTCAAGCAAGGAGATGGCCACGATCGCAGTTGCGTTCGTGCAGAAGACAGAGAGGAGCTGACGACAGAAGAACTTGCTGAACTCCAGAGTGAGCAGCGGAAGGCACTTGCTGAGGAGGATTCCACTGAGGAAGAGGAAGACGGGGAGGAGGTTAGCAGTGATGTGATACAATCCATTATGTGAAAATGGAATGAGCGCCAGGATTTCTTTGAGAAGCACCACCCCAACATAACTGTAACGAACCGAGTGTTGAATCTGATGAACGATAATGTGGTCTCTCATTTCCAAAGGGTTATGCAGCACAGGAAAAAACAAGTGACTGTAGACGAGTTTTCACCAAAATTGACCCTGTAGCTAAGAGACAAAGAAGAGAGGAAACCCCTGAAGGAGATCTCCCCAGTGTCCTTATGGAGGGGGACTCTCCCTCAAAACAATAACCTCCCCCCCCACACCCCAGGTTAGTGTTCTCCACTGTACTGTACTGTACTTTGTTACTTTGTTGTTCTTTGTCACTTTGTTTCAAATTTTTCTGATTTTAAAAAAATAGTTACAGAACAGATTAACCTTATTTACATTGAACCTTATGGGGAAATTTGACTTGGCTCCTGACCAAAAATAGGCTCACAACCACATTCAGAGGGGCCAGGATGAATTAACTTTATTTACATTGAATCTTATGGGAAAATTTGACTTGGGTAACAACCAATATGGGTTACAACCAGAGTCGTGGAACAGATTAAGTTTGTGAGCCAAGGTACCACTGTATTTTAAATGTGTACTCATGATCTTGAAAGTGGAAACACAGTTAATAAATCTTATAAACATTGTATCAGGTCAATTTGTTTCCTAAAAAAACTCTCCCTATCTCAATGAATGTTTGCTGTAGCAGATATTAGATACTATTCAGGTCTGTTGATTTGAGCCACACAACCTGAGCCTGAATTATAGAATTTTCCCTGCAGCTGGTTGGTAATAATGGATATTATTGCAGGCTGCTTGGCCAGCAGCACTAGTTGTTTCACTATTGAATCCACAGCAGCTTGGTGGAATAAATAGAAAATAATAACCCAAACACATGCAGCCATCAAGTATAAGGAATAGTACATGTAATTTCTAAAGAAAGACCTCAGTCTTATATATGAAGTTATATTTTCCAGTGTCTAAACCCTGCCCCTTAGGATGCTTCCACCAGATGAAACTTTTCTGATGCAGCCACTCTGACTCATTTATGGAATTTTGCAGGAGATCCAGATGTTGCTGCACTGCATTTGTGCTTCCCATCTTTTATCTTATCACAGAAAATATGGTAAGGAAGAAAAGATGGAAGTACTGCAAGGCCCTGCAAATAGTAGTTTTAGGAGCTTCCTAGCTGGAAGTATTCTTAATCTCAGATATGTGAAGACTGTTACTTACTGATGATAAGAAGGTCACCAAACATTACATTTCTATTGTTATTTTTTATTGTTAATAGTTATATGCATTCCTGACATTCAGAAGGTTTTAAATCCTGCATGAAGCCAAGGATGCAGAGTTTAATAGTTAATAAGCAAAAAAAAAAAAAAGTATGCATGTTAATAGTATGCACTGCACAATGACTTGCATCAGTTCTAAGGCAAATAAGCTTTACCAAGCACTTTGGCGACCTTCTGTTTAGTCCAATTTGTGTTTATTTTGAAATGCTCCACAGTGATTTAATAGCATTTATGCCTAAGAAATGCACATAAGATTGCAGTTGTAAAATATAAAGCTATTTTGCTGCCATACTTTTGTAAAATATAGAAATGTTCCCAATAGTATTACATTGAGAATTTCAAAACTGTATATTCCTATATTTTGGTGCCAAAGAATAGATGATAGTATAGGAAGGGGCAAGGTATCCTTCAGGGTCACATCCTCATTTTATGGAATATTATTATTATTATTATTAGAACATTTCCATGCCGCCCCTTGCCGAAGCCTCGGGGCAGCTTACAACACAATAAAATACAATACAATACAAAAATAACAATATAAAATTAAAATTAATAATATAAAATAAATAAATATAAAAGAAAAATATAAACGATATAAAAGAAAAGTTATAAAAGAAAAGAAGAAAAGAAGAAAAGAAAGAAAAGAAGTCGTCTTGGCCAGATGAATAAGTGAATATTGTTAACAATTAAAATGACGTTTAAATAAAAAGGTCTTCACCTGGCGCTGAAAAACAAATAATGACGGCGCCAGGCGGACCTCTCTGGGGAGCACATTCCATATACCTCCCATATGTACTTGTTCGTACTTTAAGATCCTTCTTAGAGGTTCTTCTACCATCTGATGGTATTTGATAGACCAGGGCAGGGTCTTTTGGGCAATGGCACCAAGGTTGGGGAACTTCCTCCCAGAGGGGCCTGTTCTCCCTTTCTTCTCTGAAAGAAGAAAGAAAGGACTCTTCTTTCAGAGGGCCTTTAGACCTTTGTTTCTTTTCAGGGAACTGTTTACTTTGGGTTGGACTGTTATTACCCATCTGTACTGTTGTATTTTATGGTAGTTTTAATTTGTTTTTGTTTTTGTTTAAAATTTGGGAGGAATCCTCAACATTAAGAAAACTAAGATCATGGCATCTCGTCCTCTCATTTCCTGGCAAATAGATGGGGAAGAAATGGAGGTAGTGACAGATTTTATTTTCCTGGGCTCCAAAATCACCACAGATGAGGACTGCAGCCAAGAAATTAAAAGATGCTTGCTCCTGGGGAGGAAAGCTATGGCAAATCTAGACAGCATACTAAAAAGCAGAGACATCACCCTGCCGACAAAAGTGCGTATAGTTGAGGCTATGGTTTTCCCAGTTGCAATATATGACAGTGAAAGCTGGACCATAAGGAAGGCTGAGCACCAAAGAATTGAGGCCTTTGAATTGTGGTGCTGGAGGAGACTCCTGTGAGTC